GGGCTCGATCCCAGGACCCTGGGACCATGACCCGAGCCAAAGGCAGATGCTTAACTGACTGAACCACCCAGGCGCCACTGCACCAGAAGACTTCCTTTTTTTTTTTTTTAAAGATTTTATTTATTTATTTGATAGAGAGAGACACAGCGAGAGAGGGAACACAAGCAGGGGGAGTGGGAGAGGGAGAAGTAGGCCCCCCGCGGAGCAGGGAGCCCGATGTGGGGCTCGATCCCAGGACCCTGGGACCACGACCCGAGCCGAAGGCAGACGCTTAACGACTGAGCCACCTAGGCGCCCCAACAAGTAAAATATTTTTGTCAGTGACGTTATCTTTTCCTTAATAGTCACATAATTTCATTAAAATATATATAGTGCCCTTTTTTCTTATTGCTACTCTCTCTTTTCCCCAAAATTCAACTAATTTTTGGAAAAATGAATCCAAAATATTACGTTCTAAGTCAGGAAATGAATCAAATCACTCTTACCTCCATGTTCCTCTTTTCCTTAAAACAGCTTTTGATTAAAGTTACAAAAATCTAAGAAGGGCAAAAAAGGAAGAGGAAGAAGAGTATTTTGTCCTTTAAAGGGGAACAATAATTGGGCAGGGGAGGAGAGGCCATTTATTAAACGGCCTTGTAATAAGCAATAAATGTGCTGGACTCCCTTAACAACGGTGATGCAAAAGTGAGTAATCCAGGTTTCATGTCATCAAAAGTTCCCAGCTTTGTCTGACAAACAGTCATTAAATAAACAATTACAGTGAACACGACAAGTACAACAGTAGGGGTGTGCTCTATGTTTGTAATACAAAAGGGCAGGAATTAAGCGGCGGAAATAAACTAGTGGCCTCTTTGATCACCAAGAACCTCCACACACTGAGACTTCACCCCCTAAGAAAAGCACCTGGAAGTAACTTCAGTATTTTGGATGTTTACTTAGTGCTGAAGCATCTGTTAGATACTTTATTAAATCATCTAAGATTCAGAAATTAAATAAATATTTGAGTCTCAAAACCATGTATTAGTATTTTGTGTTACAAAAAAACTTTTGGGCTTGCCTGGGTGGCTCAGTCGTTAAGCGTCTGCCTTCGGGTCGGGTCATGATCCCAGGGTCCTGGGATCGAGCCCCGCATCGGGTTCCCTGCTCAGGGGGAAGCCTGCTTCTCCCTCTCCCCCTCCCCCTGCTTGTGTTCCTGCTCTCGCTGTCTCTCTCTCTGTCAAATAAATAAATAAAGTCTTTAAAAAAAAAAAAAAGAAAAAAAAATTTTTGCATATTTGGTATTTTAGCTGTTCGTAATGCTCATAATGGCTATTATTAGAAAACGGGTCAAACTTTTGATTCTAGTTTAGAGTCCTTAATTGAGTAATTGATTTAGGCTTACAATTTTAAGTTAAAGGTTAGTAAGTCCAGCAAGAGAAAAGATGCTTTTTTTATTCAAACATTTATTGAATTCCAAACATTATGCTAACAACTAGGTTACTAGAATAAATAAAGTACAATTCCTGAACAACTCACATTTTTTAACTGGAGACAGACACTTCTATAAATAATTACAATTTTTGTGACAAGTGCTATAAAGTATAAGGCACAGTAGTGGCACCCCCCCCAAAAAAAAACAAACCAAAAAACAAAAAAACAAACCAGCAATTAAGTAAAGAGAGCAGAACCATAACAAGGATTCTAACAAAGCAAGAGCAGGAAAGAGTATTTATAAAACTGGCATCTGAAAACTCAGATTCCTGTCTGTGACATTCTTACCTGGGCACTGCCACCGAATCCTCGGTAGTCATGAGTCCTAGTTGACCATCACTCCCTGCACCCCAAGAAAACAGCTGGCCCCGGTCACTGAGGGCCAGGCTGTGCGACTCGCCACATGCCACATGGACAATGTGCTGATCTGCCAAAGCTCCAATTTGCTCTGAAAGAGACCAAACCAAGGAGGAAAATGTAGAGCCTAGAAATAGGAATCACACAAGACTTTCTTACACAGAATTATCCTTCTAGGCAGTTTCGTTTTTCACAAAGAACCACTAAATCTGTATATTATAGGGATTATAAATTTCATACATTTCTACAAGCTATCAGTTTAGAGCCCAGCTACACTGGGTAGCATATATGACTGCAGCAGCACATACATCCCAGGTATTCCCCCATGGGCCTGGGGCTTCTCTCCAGGGAGAAGCCTGAGGTTTACTGTTGGGAGATACTGAACCAGAGAGGCTCAAATGTGAGTGGGAATGAGGCATATTACTTAAACCAGTGGGACTGGTAAAATTCTGCTTGGGAACAATAAGACTCCTTTCCCAGAGCCCTCCCTCCCTAATCCAGAAAATACCTTTCCCCCCAAGGTTCCAGAACACAGCCTCATACATAATATCTAGCCAAGAAAAAGGAGGATTTCTCTGAAAAAAAAAAAAAGGCCCAAAAGAGAAGCTCCACAGACACTGACATCTGTGGGTCCCCCAATGAAATGTCCAGCTTCCTGTGACTTAACAAGCCTTGCCCTCACACAATTCCACTCACATTTTAGAACCGCACTCTTAAATATAAAAGGCTGGGCACAGCACTTTCCTCACATATGAGGAAAATGCTAACATGAAAGAAAAAAAAAAAGAGAAAATGAACTCAGAAGATAAGGATCATGCTGGGCGCAGAAAAAATATTTAAGCTGTTAGAGAAATAGAAGAAGATAAGGACCATTCAAACATTTGAGGAATAAAATCATCTTAGAAAATGAAAATATGGCAGCATGAATTTAAAGACAAAAACCTTTCAAAAGCAGACTGGGAAATAAGAATTGAAGAAATTCCCACAACCATGTGGTCAACTCATCTTCAAAAAAACAGGAAAGAATATCCAGTGGAAAAAGTCTCTTCAACAAATGGTGTTGGGAAAACTGGACAGCAACATGCAGAAGAATGAAACTGGACCATTTTCTTTCTTATATCATACACAAAAATAAATTCAAAATGGATGAAAGACCTAAATGTGAGACAGGAAACCATCAAAATCTTAGAGGAGAATACAGGCAACAACCTCTTTGACCTTGGCCAGAGCAACTTCTTACTAGACATGTCTCCAGGGGCAAGGGAAACAAAAGCAAAAGTGAACTATTGGGACTTCATCAAAATAAAAAGCTTCTGCACAATGAAGGAAATAGTCAACAAAACTGAAAAGCAACCTACAGAATGGGAGAAGATATTTGCAAATGACATAGCTGATAAAGGGTTAGTATCCAAAATCTATACTTATCAAACTCAACACCCCAAAACCAAATAATCCAGTTAAGAAATGGGTAGAAGATATGAATAGACATTTTTCCAAAGAAGACATCCAGATGGCTAAGAGACACATGAAAAGATGCTCAACATCCCTTGGCATCAGGGAAATACAAATCAAAACCACAATGAGATACCACCTCACACTAGTCATAATGGCTAAAATTAACAAGTCAGGAAACAACAAATGTTGGCAAGGATGTGGAGAAAGGGGATCCCTCTTACACTGTTGGTGGAAATACAAACTGGTGCAGCCACTCTGGAAAAGAGTATGGAGGTTCCTCAAAAAGTTAAAAAGAGAACTAACCCTATGATCCAGCAATTGCACTACTAAGTATTTACCCAAAGGATACAAAAATACAGATTCGAATGGTTACATGCACCCTGATGTTTACAGCAGCATTATCAACAATAGCCAAACTATGAAGAGAGCCCAAATGTCCATCAACTAATGAATGGATAAAGAAGAAGTGGTATATACATACAATGGAGTATTACTCAGCCTTCAAAAAAAAAAAAGAAATCTTGCCATTTGCAATGATGTGGATAGAACTAGAGTGTATAACACTAAATGAAATAAGTCAGTCAGAGAAAGAGAAATACCATATGATCTCACTCATATGTGGAATTTAAGAAAGAAAACAGATAAAGATATGGGAAGGGGGGAAAAGTAGAAAGGGAAACAAACCATAAGAGACTCTTAAAAATAGAGAAAAACTGAGGGTTGATGAAGGGAGGCGAGTAGGGGATGGATATTAAAGAAGGCACTTTTTGTGATGAGCACTGGGTGTTGTATGTAAGTGATGAATCACTGAATTCTACTCCAGAAACCAATATTGCACTGTATGTTAACTAAAATTTAAATTAAAAAAAAAAGAAGAAATTTTCTAAGAAATAGAACAAAAAGACAAAGAGCAAAACAGAGGGGGTTAAAAAAGAAAGAAATGAGGGGATTATTTCAAGAGGTCCAATAATGGAAAAATAAGAACTCCATAAAGGAGATGGGGAAAATACAAGGTAAAACCATTTCAAAGAAGAAATACAAGAAAAGTTCTCATAAGGACTTAAATTTCACATTGATAGGACCTATGAAGGACTCAGAATAATGACTGATGAAAGACCTACTTCAGAGGACTTCATCTTGAAATTTTAGAACACCAAAAAAGACTCTAAAAGTTTCCAGAACGGAAAACAGTTTATATACAATAGAACAGGGATCAGAATGGCATTAGATTTCTCAGAAGCAATACTGAAAACTAGAAGACAATGGAGCAATGCCTTCACAATATTGAAGGAAAATGACCTCCAACTGAGAATTCTGTATCTAACTAACCATGAATAAAATATGAGGAGAGAGGGGAAAAAGGAATAATTTGCAGGCATGTGAGGCTCTCAAAATATTTTACCTCCAATGCTGCCTCTCCCAGAAAGTTACCATAAGATAATGCCTCCTAAACAAAGGAAGATTCAGGATCCAGCAAACAAATCTTACATAAGAATTCTTAGGTGAAGAACATTTCCAAAACAGCTATAATGTAGGAGGCCCATGAGGCAAAGTTGAAGGAATGTCTCCAAGGTGAAAAGCAAAATACAATCTGATGAGTTTTATATTGTTATGAGTTTTACAGTTGTCAGAGAATACAGAGGTTACTATGCAAAAGAAAAAAAAGATATAATTAACTCCAGAAAATACATAAAATGTCTTATAGGAAATAAAAGCAATCATTGAACACAGAACCATAAAAACCAAACAAATATAATTTACATAATCAAAAATTTAATTTGTCAATTGATTTCAGCAATCAATTATTTGGGAAAGGATGAGTATCTAGGGGTGAGGAAGAGGAAAGAGTAGACGGAGAATATAAAGGAATGCTAATCTTCCCCAGTGTCTCTACATTATGTCCAATACTGAAAAAAAAAATCAAGAAACAGCATATAAGCATGTCATTTAGAAAACATAAATATTAAAAGAAAGAGCTAAAACTGTTCAGAGAAATGGTCTCTGCTAGTGAAACTGCAGGGGAGGCAGGGAGCTTCTGTTTGACCTAAAGATAGTTTGTATAAATATATTACTTGGAAACAAAGTTTTTATTTAAATTAAGCAACCGAAAACATGCTCATGTCAGAGAAATCTCCTAAAAGACGCTTTAACTCCTGTAGTTCCCATTGCCCAACTTCTTTAACCTCTATTCACTATTAGACCCCATATCCCAACTCAGCTTTGCCTCACGCACTAGGAACAGTCCTGTCTTTATTTTGGAATAAGGTAAGAAACTCCTTCTGAAGTACCTTGGGTGATTCAGACTCTACTCCTGACACCAAATATCCACCTTGTACCACAGTTCCAGGATTTGGGCAGCTTTTATGTCCTCCTGGGCCTGGGTACCTGGCCTGACACCTCAGCCATGACTGAGGCCTGGCCCCTAATACCTGACTTCCTACGCCAACCATTAGCCTTTCCTGCCCGGACATTAGCATTCAGCCTAACAGGACGCTCTTTACCTGATCTGCCACTACGTTCTTGCCTCAAAACCTGTCAATAGCATCCCTATTGATCTTGTTTACCACAGCTGAACAGCCTCAAAAGGGCATGGTAAAACCTAAGACAAACCAATTCCTGTCCCATCACGCATTAGCCATCAAACCACCACTGCTACAACAAAACCTACAGCCCCAAAGGCAACGCTCGGTAATGCAAAAATCTGTGAGGAATCAAACCGGTGACTGCACCAAGTCCAACTTATTTTATTTCTTCTAGCCAGAAAACTAAGCTCATCTGATTCAGACTGGGGATCTGTTAGAGTGAAGTTATAATTCCTCTTCTAGAATCCACTCCCTAGGTCAGGCCAACGTGGGAATGAAGGCTTCATTCACACCTCTCCCTGAACACTCCCCTGCTCCAGTTGGGAACGTTCAGGCTGCAGTGTACATTTTCACATGCAGTCTCTCTGGTTCATTCTGTCAAGACTCTATGCTATATTTTGCAGATCATGACAGAACCTCAACCCACACATTAAAATAATTAAACACACTGAAGAAATATTTGGCATTTTTTGAGGATAAAAGTATATTTTCTCTCTGATCCTCTCATAGCAACCCTTTCAAGTCTTTAACAGTCCTTAGCAATGTTCTCAAATCAGAATGAGCAAGGTAATAGGAATGAGCCAGAACAGCGGCAAATGTGGAGTACTGCTTAGAACAAGTCAGCAGTTCAACTGGACTTACGTTATTATGATTATTTCTACTTGGTTTTTGAGCCCACAAAGTTTTAAATGTATTTTCAGGTTAATAGTGAATTGGGCATTAAACCATCAAAGGGTGGCAATAGAGAGGATGGTATGAGCCTAGAGGGAAATGCATGATGCCAAACACTTACTTAATCCTGCAACAACCCTGTGAGGCAGGGTTATAGTAAGCCCCAACTCAGAAAACATATGTAATTTGGCCAAGATTCACAACTAATGAGTGGAGAAACTAGAATTGGATCCCAGGTCCTTCTGACTTTAGAGCCCATTGTACCCACTAGGCTGTATTACATTCTGTCATGGAAAAAGATTAGACAGATACGAAACTGGTAAAAGTAACAATGAAGTGATTAGCCTAGATATGAAAAATGGGAAATGGACTTTTTCCTCAT